TCTATAAAACTGCCTTTCGACATAAGTATCACCAACTTCTGTTTTTATCAATCAGGCAGAACCGAAATCTTTCATTCTATGATGTTATAAAACTCAGACTGACCAAGGCAGATTCGGCAAGAGACAAGTAGAGCAACCATAACTTCATGACAAGATACAGAAATTGAAAGTCTATAAAACTGTCGTACAAGCTTATTTTGTTTTATATGTTGCCAAATCTTAGGTCATCGATTGCTTTCAACAGCATTTCCAAATTATATCTCAAAACCTGCAAAGAAAACTATTATCTTCTTAACGATCCCGGTGGTAGGAGAATTATTCACATTGTCAGACAGAATTTACAATGAATCTTTGAAAATCTTTTGGGTACCGTAAAAACTAGTGTCATCGACCATTTTCAGTTGAAAAAAAAAAAACTCTAAAAATATAATATAGCGGCAAAGAAACTTTCAGGTCTCTTTCAATTATGATGATAACACCAAACATAATAGGCTCTGAGATGTGAATGTACCACAAAACCATCTTTTACCGAAATTTCCTAGTATCAGGGTCACTTGTGTGTCCTGTATGGGTTTCGGCTTCTACCAGCGGAAAACATCAGCTGTAGCATGTCTTCATAAATATTCATCTGAGAAGCCAAGCACAATTAACTTAAATTATAAGTAAAAAGTAAATTTTAATAAAATAATATTTAATGAAGTATGTTCATGAACGTGTTTTTCAAAAGCTAACTTTCTTAAGAGTGGATTTTCAAAAGACGTTTTATCAACGGGGTGCTGAAAACTCTGGCTCAACCCACTTCTTCAAATTAGTATTCTGATATTTGACCGCTGATTTTGTATTTTTCAGTTACTTGTAAGTTTAGGCTAATATCCATTATAAATAAACGAGAAAGATTTTTCAGTTTGACACCGAACGGAATCAGATTTTCGGTTAGCATTCGAACCATGAATTCAAGTACAGATATCTTCAATGAATGGCTAATAAATATGATTCAGCTTTTAATTTTCAAATATGTCCACATCTAAAACATTTGGACTTTCACGGGTGTTCAAAGTAGTTTCATACAGAATTTCAGTTTTATTAATCGAACCAGAGTCTTAATTTGAATAAGAAGATCTAAGAAAACCTAAGAAAATCAAAGAAAACTTGGCATTTGAGGTTAATGGTGCCGAGTTGTTTAAATTATTGTGTGTTTTTTTCTCAGAACTCCCCCAGTGCCCTAAGCTGATGCCAAGAACTTTTAGTTTGTTGCTGCTCACAAACTCTCAAAGAATAAAAGAATCATATAGAAGTGGTAATCAAATTTTCCGACATTCACGGAACAAACTAGGTTATTCTAATCTATATTCTGCTACACGGAAGATCAATGATAGTTACCGATATAAACAAAGTACAGTTTTTGTATTGATACGTGAAAATCCACGTTCTTAAATAACTAGAATTCCCCGAAGAAGACCTCTCCCTCTCCACTCTAATCTTGACCTCCAGCTAGTCCATCCTCGTTATCCATATCACTATGCGCTTCACAAATAGTAATCACAGAAACAGTGTTTCTTCTTATCCAACGAAGGGCTCACACTGTTGCAAACAGAAATAGCTTTCAAGACAAAGAGATTTCTGCGCAGCATGTGAACAATGTAGCATTCAATAAGCTCATACAACGGGCGCAGTGACAAAAGGCGTGCTCAATAGACTCCTCCATTTTACCGTAATGGATGCAGTCTTACAAAATAACTAGTTCCGTTGCGAGGGTTTTTTTTACCGACATAGAGCGTAGCCAGGTGAGTGATACTTTATTAGTGAGGCATATCAACCTGGGTGCTCAAAGCCATAAGGAGCGAACTCTCATCGCCAAACCGATCTCCTCGATCAGATCATCATGAACGCTCCCTAACACACGTTATAATGTATTTTATCGACAACGGACGGGTGTCATAGCATCCTTTAGTGATAGTACAAAAAGTAGGTAAAGGATGAGGGAATAGAGTAGCGCATATCCCGTCCCCATTTTAAGGAAAGATTAATTTACAGCCACAAATTAACTATAGCTTTTTCCAATACTTCCGGCCACTTCTTCTCCAGTTGAAGGTCGGGACCCAACCAGACGTCGAGTAAGATGCAACAATCGTCCGTCCAACTTAAAGGTGCTCGGCAGATAACCTTTCCACGACCCAAAACACAAGCCAACAGATTTTAATCTTGGTCGCTGCAACTGTTTCATACATCTGGATTTCTTTACCAACTTTGTCGATTTTGTCATTACTTGTTACTACGTCGTTGGCATAGGCGATGTACCTGGCAAGATGGTAGGACCAGGTAACGTAATCACACCTAGAACCGAATAAGCCCTTAATTTGCGCAAGAATATACAGTTTGGGCGACAGCTATCAACATTAATGAATAGATCTGGACAACATAAATGGCTCGATCTTACCTCATTCATTTCCACTACATCGGGAGTAGCGTACAAGTGGTAAATCAAAGAGCGAAAATCCGGCCTGAACCCAGTCGCAGACAAGACTGTCTCTAAAAAACGATGGTTCATAGTCTCAGCTTTTGAATAATCCAGATTGATCAGTGCGGTCTCACCGTCGACTTTATCTATGATCGTGCAAACCAAATGAAGATTATTTTGGATTTATTCTGGGCACTTCGACGTGGTGTAACAGTTACCAAGCTTGTCTCACTAGATCAATTACGACTGAATACGATTCTCACTGAGTGTTCCATGCTTGCAGTCTTATGCCGCATTTAATCTACGCTTTGTAAATTTCTATTTTGGATCGTCATTTTATTTTTAGATTGTAAGATTTTTTTGAGATAATGATTTAGTGATATAAGTTTACTAATTAACCCATAGCAGGGGGAGAACAAGTGGATTCATACCTTTACTAGTGGTATTTGTGAGTAAGTGAATGTAATGAACTCGGCTCCCCGATTAATAATTCCGAAACATTATCCATTACACCATCTGCACATCCAAGCTTACAGCACCAGGTTTTCCCAAGTGGGCATCCATCTAGGTACAGACCAGGCTCAACTTAACTTAATTGTACGGAAAACGGTGTTTGAATGCTATATGACCGTAAGCCACAATAGTGATGCGGTCCTAGGGTTTCTTTTCATCGACGAATAGTGATGGACATACACTTTGGCTTCATTGACAAAATCGTCTCCATCGATGATACAGGAAGAGGGTGAATCAAAATCACAGATGTTGTTCTGTTTGGAGACCCATTTACTCTGGTCTTATTTTCAGTTCAATCATTTTCAATTTTTCATACTTTGGCTTTTCTGATTTTTTATTTTTCATTCTCCATTTCAGGGAAACTTAACGAGCATTCTAGTCATTCTATTTCCCAGTAGCCCCCTTTTCATGAGCATTAAATAGAGGTTGAAATACTCTACCGTCATCTTCCTCGTTCATAATAGACATCATTAATAGAGGTTGAAATACTCTACCGTCATCTTCCTCGTTCATAATAGACATGATCAATAGAGGTTGAAATACTCTACCGTCATCTTCCTCGTTCATAATAGACATGATAAATAGAACTTGAAATACTCAGCCGTCATCTTACTTGTTCATAATAGACATGATAATTAGAGCTTGAAATACTCTGCCGTCATCTTACTTGTTCATAATAGACATGTTAAATAGAGGTTGAAATATTCTGCCGTCATCTTCCTCGTTCACAATAGACATGGCGAATACAGCTTGAAATACTCTGCCGCCATCTTCCTCGGTCGTAATAGACATGGTAAATACAGCTTGAAATACTCTGCCGTCATCTTCCTCGTTCATAATAGACAGGTTAAATAGACCTTGAAATACTCTGCCGTCATCTTCCTCGTTCATAATAGCCATGATCAATAGAGCTTGAAATATTCTGCCGTCATCTTCCTCGTTCATAATAGACATGTTAAATCTTACTCTGCCGTTAACAGACATGTTAAATAGACCTTGAAAACTCTCCCGTCTTCTTCCTCGGTCGTAATAGACATGTTAAATAGAGGTTGAAATAATCTGCCGACCTCTTGCTCGTTCATAAAAGACATGTTAAATAGAGCTTGAAATACTGTGCCGTCATCTTCCTCGTTCATAATAGACAGGTTAAATAGACCTTGAAATACTCTGCCGTCATCTTCCTCGTTCATAACAGACATGTTAAATAGACCTTGAAATACTCTCCCGTCATCTTCCTCGGTCGTAATAGACATGTTAAATAGAGGTTGAAATAATCTGCCGACCTCTTGCTCGTTCATAAAAGACATGTTAAATAGAGCTTGAAATACTGTGCCGTCATCTTCCTCGTTCATAATAGACAGGTTAAATAGACCATCTTCCTCGTTCATAATAGAGCTTAAAATGCTCTGCCTTCATCTTCCTCGTTAAATAGACATGTTAAATAGACCTTAAATACTCTGCCGTCATCTTCCTCGTTCATAATAGCCATGATCAATAGAGCTTGAAATATTCTGCCGTCATCTTCCTCGTTCATAATAGTCATGTTAAATAGACCTTGAAATACTCTGCCGTCATCTTCCTTGTTTATAATAGCCATGATCAATAGAGCTTGAAATATTCTGCCGTCATCTTCCTCGTTCATAATAGACATGTTAAATAGACCTTGAAATACTCTGCTGTCATCTTCCTCGTTCATAATAGCCATGATCAATAGAGCTTGAAATACTCTGCCGTCATCTTCCTCGTTCATAATAGTCATGTTAAATAGACCTTGAAATACTCTGCCGTCATCTTCCTCGTTCATAATAGACATGTTAAATAGAGGTTGAAATATTCTGCCGTCATCTTCCTCGTTCATAATAGCCATGATCAATAGAGCTTGAAATATTCTGCCGTCATCTTCCTCGTTCATAATAGACATGTTAAATACTGCCGTCATCTTCCTTGTTCATAATCATGATCAATCTTCGTCATCTTCCTCGTTCATAATAGACATGTTAAATAGACCTTGAAATACTCTGCCGTCATCTTACTCGGTCGTAATAGACATGGTAAATAGAGCTTGAAATACTCTGTCGTCATCTTCCTTGTTCATAATAGACATCTTAAATAGAGGTTGAAATGATCTGCCGACCTCTTGCTCGTTCATAATAGACATGTTAAATAGAGCTTGAAATACTCTGCAGTCATCTTCCTCGTTCATAAAGACGTTAAATAGGGCTTGAAATACTGTACCGTCATCTTCCTCGTTCATAATAGACATGGTAAATAAAGCTTGAAATACTGTGCCGTCATCTTCCTCGTTCATAATAGTCATGTTAAATAGACCTTGAAATACTCTGCCGTCATCTTCCTCGTTCATAATAGACATGATTAGTAGAGCTTGAAATACTCTGCTCTCATCTTCCTCCTTCATAATAGACATGTTAAATAGACCTTGAAATGCTCTGACGTCATCTTCCTTGTTCAAAATAGACATGTTAAATAGAGCTTCAAATATTATGCCGTCATCTTCCTCGTTCATAATAGACATGATGAATACAGCTTGAAATACACTGCCGTCATCTTCCTCGTTCATAATAGACATGATCAATAGAGCTTGCAATACTCTGCCGTCAACTTCCTCGTTCACAATAGACATGTCAAATAGAGCTTGAAATGATCCGCCGTCATCTTCCTCGTTGATAATAGACATGATAAATGGAGTTTGAAGTATTCTGCCGTCATCTTCCTCGTTCATATTAGACATGATCAGTAGAGCTTGAAATACTCTGCCGTCATCTTCCTCGTTCATATTAGACATGATCAATAGAGTTTGAAATACTCTGCCGTCTTCTGCCTCGTTCATAATAAACATGATCAATAGAGCCTGAAATATTCTGCCGTCATCTTCCTCGTTCATAATAGACATGTCAAATAGAGCTTGAAATGCTCTGCCGTCATCTTCGTCATTCACGGTAGACATGATCAATAGAGCTTGAAATAAACTGCCGTCATCTTCCACGTTCATAATAGACATGATCAATAGAGCTTGAAATACTATGCCGTCATATTCCTCGTTCATAATAGACATGGTAAATTTGTAGAAGAATAATTCTTTTAGATGAGTAGTAGTCGGTTTGGTGCGGAATGTAGTAAAAGTCACGTAAGGAAAGTATCAAGAAACAACACAGCGCCTACTTTCAGAGGTTGAGTACCATAATGAATGCAGTGCTAGGCTTACCCACCCGACTCATCAGCTTTAATAGTAATTTACTAAATGTAGCTTAGATGTGACACAAAGCCGCAAGTATGGAGCACCCAGTGAGGATCGAACTCACTACTCAATCATAAGTAATTTAACAAAACTAGCTCATACTACGTCGATGTGCTCAGCTCATGAGCTTTAATGCTGCATTCATCAATATCTGTCTCTTTAAATAACTACACAAATATTGTAGTGTGATCCTTTACGTGACACACGTGACTCTACTCTGCTTAGATCAATACGGTTTAGATGAGGGCGGGTAGATCTTAACCACTTGTCCAAACTTATAATATTCTTGATAGCGTTGGGACGGTGATATTTGCGATTGACCGGAATGCAGTCCTTGACAGATTAAATCGTGGGAGGCACTAGGGGAAATATTAATGACCTGGATGTTGGCATAATCAACAGAAATGAAACTTTAACTTTTGCTCAATCTAGAAAGCCACTTCATGTAGTGCTAAAATCAGTCTTTTGTTTGCGCATACTTCTACTCTCTCCTCCAGTTGCAAATCAAGGAACAAAACAAATAAGAGACGAGAAAACAAAATTCGGGCCATCTTTCACTCGTAGTAGCAGTGGATATCGCCGACTTTGAAGTCACAATGGGCAGCGTAAAACCACGTCAGAGATTTCTGCAAGTCATCACGAAATATTCCTTTCATCCGGTCCTGGTTTGGCCTCGTGAATCAGGTCAGCTACTGCATATCTATGAAACTGTTCTCCTGAAACCACCCATGCAGTTCTACTGGGATGACCAACTACAGAACCTATTTGACAAATCAAAAAAGGAATTCATTGACAAAAGAAAAGAGGGAATTGTCATTTTTGACAAGAGTCACAAAACCTGTCTTACGATTAATTGGAGTAAAGACGGTCTAGGATTCTGGCTCCTACAGAAGAACTGTCCATGCCCCCAGCGGTACACCAACATGCTGTACCTCGGGATGGAGTATTGCACTTGTAGGGAGTAGATTTACACACCCAGTCGAGTCGCGGTATGTACCGATTGAAGGAGAAATCCTGTCCGTGGTTCAATGCCCTCGAAAGAACGAAACACTTTATACTTGGTTGGGACAACCTGATGGTATCTAGTTGGAAGGAAGAAAAATTCGCGTTTAGACTGTACAAGTCCCGGGGGGAACTCATAGTAGAGGATTACGTTAAGAGACAGATTATACGAATAGAAGGGGGAGATAACAGTTAACCCTAGATTTGAACAGGTTAAGATTGTAGTGATCGGAGAAACATCCTCTTGGGAGTCGGTTCCACAGAGCAGTGGTTTACGGGAAGAAGCTGTTTGAGTGGAATGACTCACCGATGGAATACGGAGGAAATGTGAGGCATGGCAGGTCCTAGCCGTAAAGGTTAGACGTGGCGGAACCAAGGAATGTAGTTCGTCCAAGCACTTTTCATGGACGTAGCGATCGAGCAACGAGAGGCTTACCCCATCCTGCCTGTGAGAAAGAGGTTCGACGTTGTAAAATAATTCGTTACCTAAAAGGACTCGGAGACGCTTTTGAACTCTATCGAAACTGGAATGTGAGGCCTGGCCAAGTCTCGCCCAAATATGACAACAGTAGTCCATTTTCGGCCTGATCTGGCTCTTGTAAAGTATAACATGAAGAGTCAGGTACTTACTGGACAGTTACAGGGAGCCGGTCATTTCCCTACATTTTTAGTGATGGATCGTAAGTAAGAGGTCAGGAGTTAGTTTTAGGCCCAATTGTCTCTCAAGCCACGGAGTCTCCTCCGTTCATCGTGACTGGCGGTAGTTCGCGGTCCGATCGGCGATGATGGAATTTAACTTAGTTTGGTTTTCGAGGTATTGAATGTAATCAGCCAGTCCCCCCCTCCCCACTGGGTAGTTAGATCGGATGAAATATCAGTTGCCAATCTCTGCTCATCAAAATTTTTTAGAGGTGCGCCCGTATATAGTTGTATCATCAGCATAGATGTTTAAAAATGATCTGAGTATATTTTAAGGCAGAAATTTAATGTAAATCAGAAAGACCTGCTTTGATCGCTAATGTTCCGGAGGACTGACCTGACATTCAGGGGCCTACCTGTTAGGAATGTTTTTATAATTGAGAAGACCATTCCAGTGATTGTATAGGTTTGTTTATTACACTTTCTATGGAAGTGTTTAAAATACATTTATTAAACGAAGTTATTAACATGGTTTCTTTAAATAAAAACTGCTAAAATGAAGCCAGAAATAGCATGAATAAAATTTGGTTTTCAAAAATTTGTAAAAAAAATAAGGAAAAAAAAAAGAAAAAAAAGAAAAAAGAAAAAGACAAGCTTGCCTTCAATCTGTCCTGTGAGTATCAAATTTTCCAAGATATTTTTCCTCATTATGTGTCCTAGAAATTTCTTCCTGGTGTTAAGTATAAGTTTCCTTTTTGTTAACACTTTCTCTAAACTTCATCCTTGCTCACATATTCGGTGCATGGTATCCTCAGCACCCTTCTGTAGACACATTTTCTGTTGCTTCAAGTCTCTTCTTCATCTTTATGGAGATTTTCCAGCATTCACTACCATGTAACAGTTCAGTACGCTTTCTTTGTTTCTAACAAAGATTTTCTGTTTCTTAATACTCTGCTTAGGTTTTGAAATGCATCTTTGGTAATCCCAATGCGCCTTTGGATTTCAATGTCGCACTTTCCATCCTCTGTTAAAACACTTCACAGATATTTAGATTTTTGTATTTGGTTGATTTTGGTATCTCTGATTTGTCATTTGCATTTTGGGCTCATCCTTTTGCTAGCAACCATGTATTCTGTCTTCTTGCAATTGATGCGCTTAATACTTTCTTATCGTTTTCCTTTACTACATTATGTAGGAGATTTTGTAATTTTCTTTTTGCGTCTGCTACCAACACTGTGTCATCTGCATATCTTATATTGTTAAGATTGTGGCCGCCAACAATGAATCCTGGTAGGACTTCTTATTCTCTCAGAATAGTCTCGCTGTTTAGGTTGAATAAATCCGGTGAGAAGATACATCCTTGTTTTACACCTTATTCTATTTTTTGTATATCTATTGAACTCATTTTCTATCCGTATTCAGGCGGTTTGCTGCCAGTAGAGGTTCTTGATTATTCTAATATCTTTCCCAAATATGTCAAGGTTGCTGATCTGTTCCAACATATTTGGGGCGTACTTTACCGAATGCCTTTGCATAATCTATAAAACACAGGTATACGTCCTTCTGCATTCGTATTGTTCTTTCTGATTACATTCTGAGCATAATTATCGTGTCCCTTCTTCAATTATCTTTGACGAACCCGCACTGTTCTTGTCCTATTTCCAGTCTGACTCTGCTACACATTCTATTCACCAGAAATCGGGTGATAAGTTTTGTTATATGGCTCACTAGGCTGATTGTCCCATGGAGTTTACATTCGTTTTCACTTGGCTTCTTAGGCAGAAAAATAGCTCTACATAGGTCTTCTGTTCTCTACCTGAAATTTCGATCTTAAATTTTACTCGTCGCTGAAAAGAATATTTTGAACAAGCCTTTACACTTCCCGCATTAATTGTTGTAAATAAACAAATTCTTTCTGTTTCAATTTCCTACTAAGAGCAATTTTTATTGTTCGCTTAAAGAGATAACTAGCTGATAATATTTTGTTTATAGGAAAATCTCCATAGGATATGAATGGAACTTAAAACGATAGATCTCTGGAAAATAATGACTATTCACAATGTATAGAGATGACACGGGGAGACTATATACAGTGTGTGATACATAAATTGTCGTCTAAATTACGCAAAAATGAAAATAACACTGACATCTCATTTTAACAGATATATTTACCAAAATTGCACAAAAATATCTTGAAATATTAAAGAGTAAATTTATTTAATAAAACCGCCATTGGCTTCAACCACGGCCTTCATACGATTTCGGAATCTCCTGCATCTCTTCTGGACGGTCTCCTTGTTTAAGTTGATGAATGTTGCCATGATCATTGCCATCAATTCGTGTCTTTGGTGTTACAAGGAGTTTTGTTGGTCTCTCGTTCAACTACACCATACAAATAATAATCAAAGATGTTGTAGTCTGGAGAGTCAGGTGGCCAGATGTAAGGGGTGATGTGGTCACAGCCCTGACTGGGTTCTCCTGCTTGTGTGATATAGTGTAGAGTCCCGTTGCCAGACATAGGGTCTTCCAGCAGCCACCCTCGTCAAGACACTTGATGTAGGCATCCCTGTTGAGTCTGAGGCTCTCACCAACAAATTTGGGAGTTCTTTTCTCATTAGAACGATCAGAGTGAGTTTGCCGAGTTGCCGTACCTTCGTAATCACCATTAGACTTATCTGTAACAGAGAGAGGTTGACGCACATGAATGCACACACGCAAATATAACGTTTATTGATTGAAGATGGAAAACACGATCTTCCGTGAAAGTTACAAATTGTGTCAGTCCTATTAATAGGAAAGAATCTAGAACAATGATATATGAAACCTGAGACGGCTGATGGATAAAGGTTAAATTTCAAATCGGGTTGGCGAGGACTTGTTTATAAACAAATGCAAAAGGGCAGGAGGTGATGTTTAATTTGGGTCATTAAAAAAAAATAGACGAAAATAATATTTTTGATAAAGACATATTGAAGTAAATTGGACTGGGGAGGTAAGATCAGTGTATGTTTACCGCTAGCGAAATAGTAAGTTGTATCCGCTGAATTTGGTCATCGAAAAGACAATTGAAATGAACATTGAACTAATTAATTTTATCCACTAAGAGATTTGAAATAGATCTG